AACCCTCGGCATCACGCCCGCACCTCGCTCAGCCAGTGAGCGGGAACCGGTCTGTATGTGGGATCCGAACCCTCGGTAGGAGCGCTGCCGCGCTCCCAAGCGGCGCACTGTAGCAGTGCGCCACCGGGCCGGCCCTTGATCAGTTTTTTAATCCACGTAAAATTAGATATATGGCTGTGCAAATAAGTTACATCTAGTTATTTGAAAAATATTTTTTGGAGACTCTTCAAGGCAGAAAGCATGAGATTTAAGCAAAAATAGTTATTTTGTTTGGGCCTTGTTAATTCTCCCAAAAAAAGAATAGGTATTTTGCTCAGTGCTAAAGATGTCTAGAGGAGATATGGAAAATATGGTTTATTACTGCAGTTGTACAAAAAGAATATTTTTTTTACCCAATGTTCATGTATAATTATTGGTGTTATAAATATTGACTTAATGTTCGATACTAAAGTTGCTATTAGATTTCTAACATTTTATTTTCCTTTTTATCATAATTTCTCCTTTCTTTTGGTCTTGGGGCTGATCTGGAAAGGAAAGTAGAAAATCTATGGTGCCCCACATAACTTTTATTTACATAGTATAATAGTTTACTAGAAAGAAAAAAATGTATTCTCTAAAACTGTTATTATATTTTTAAGATGTCTTTTCAATTGATATTATCTTTCCCTTTGTTTAAATTACTAGGTTTTTTAATATAGAGAGCATATGTTTTAGTCATGTAAAAAATTCTGTTCCTAACAAAGATGGGCAACAATGTTAACATGTCCTGAAATTACCAATGCTGTCTTTTTATAATACTAAGAAAAGGCTATCTTCCCAAGGGTCATAACAGTACCTGTGAACTAAAGTCTACTGTTAAGTATGTAACAGGAAAGCAAATTTAATCAGCTTTCCAGGAAGAATATTAGCACATCTAACTAGATTTGGTGCGTAGAGCTGAAGGCTGAATGTCGAAGAATCCTTTGATGAAGGAAAAACAAAAACAACAACAACAAAAAAAACCCATTATCAGGCTGGCAGGTTAGCTCAATTGGTTAGAGCGTGGTGCTGATAACACCAAGGTCTGGGGTTCAATCCCTGTACCGACCGCCACCAAAAAGATAAATTTAGAATTAGAAGCAATGAAGTTTTTTTATATCGTTAATGAACTGTATGACCATGGAAAAGTCACTTAACTACTTTGCCTCCTGATTTCCTTTTTTTTTTTTTTTTTTTTTAAAGATGACCGGTAAGGGGATCTCAACCCTTGGCTTGGTGTTGTCAGCACCACGCTCAGCCAGTGAGCAAATTGGCCATCCCTATATAGGATCCGAACCCGTGGCCTTGGTGTTATCAGCACCACACTCTACCGAGTGAGCCACGGGCCGGCCCCTGATTTCCTTTTTGGTAAAATTTAGATTCAAATGTTTGTCTTTTAAAGATTTGGCATATAAAATGATAGAAAATCTGTAAATTTCATTAGTAAGCCAAAAAGGGGGGGGGTGTAAAAGTTTTTCCTACCTTTGAAGTATATCTAATCAAAGTATAGTTTAGAGTAATGCATTTGAGGACTCCCAGAAGGTAGTAGCTCCCAGAGGTAATTTGCATTTTCTACAATTTACCTTCATGGGTGAACAGGTTGCCTGAGCCTTTCTGGACAAAATGCAGAAAGTATGAATGAATAAGCACCTATTTAATAGATTGTCATCCTTGGCATTTATAAGTATTCCAGCCCTGGGTACAATGACACAGTATCACCTACCAAATTGAGTAAGACTGCATTTTTTGTGTACTGTACCTTGCCCTTGTATGTATTTTAGACAAGTTTTTGTTACCTGGGGTAATGAGGGAGAAGATAGTCTATCATTTTTAAAAATTAGCCATTAATTCCAGCCTTTTAAAATTAGAAACATCATTTTTCTATTTATAATCAGCTTCGTGGACTACGATAAATTCCTAAATTTGATCACCAGTTTCTGCATAACCAGTTCAAAATTATAATGGTG